CATGAATTAGCTACACTGCTGTAGCTCAGTTGCCAAAAGACAGGGGTGGAACAGAACCTGTAACACCAGTGGGGATAAAACCAGAATCCTGCACTAGCTGCAAATGTATGTGCTCCTGTGACAGCTCTTCCCTGACAGCCTTAATCTTATAACCAAAGGTGGTAAAACTCACCCTCTGCCCAGCAGAGATGGTCCAAACTGTTCTCAAGATGGGAGGGAATCGCACTAGGTGCTTGCTGGCTCCACAGCTTCTCCAGGCACCTCCACCTCCTCCTGCCATCAGCACCAGTGTCTCCTGCCACCACCGTGCCTGCTGCAGTGCACAAGGCGCTACCTCGGGGAGGTGGAGGGGACCAGGACAGGAGAAGGGAGGAAGAAGTGATTGTTGCGGAGGTACGAGGAAGGAGTCTCAGAATTAGGCATGTGGGCAGCCGAGCAAGGCCCTTTCCAAGCAACTCTAAATACCCATCCCCTCTCAGGCATTCTTTAGGGACATGCCTTGACTCTTTATCATTCAGAGAAATTACTCCAGCAGAATTTCTCCTACATCATTAGCAAGCTGAAAAATTTCCCCAAAACAGCCAAGATGCTGAGCAGTTTTCATTCTACTAATATGGGAAATAATCCATCACATACAAACATGCAGCACTTGAATCATAAAGGTCACTGTCTTGTGTTGAAATGAATCATGCCATGCAGTACCCCTGCCTGTTTTATTTATTTCACAATAAGATGATCTTAATCACTCAGTCCTAGCTAAAAGGTAGTACACCCAGTTCAGGTAGTATTTTTAGGAAAGTTATTTTCTTTTTAGGCTTTTTCTCTCTTTTGCTAGATATTATTTAATTTGTTTTAGATATATTGACACATCTCTACCCCAATGTCTCAGAAAATTGTGTAAATTCATTACAAAAGAACCACTTTGGCTTAAACAAAACCATCTAAATCAGGCAAACAGTCTTTGTTACTTAATATACAGATAAAATAACTAACGTGTTTTAAACTATTAATTTGGGCATTAAGTCCAAGCAGCGTGTGAATGCACAAAGACAGAGCAATTCTATAGACTTTTGCTACATTGTTGGAGAATGTTCATGTTTATTTTTTCTTTTTTTTTTTTGTTGGTTTGTTTCTCAGGTATTTTCACAGGTGTAATATGTACAGAAAAGACAATGCTGTTCTACCCAACAGCTTGTTTTAAAACAGTAATTCAAGATTTCTCCACAGCAGAAAATGATAACTACTCAAAAAAAGATCAAACCAGTTCACAATGGCAAAGTAGTGGCTCCTGAAAAACTGGACTTAAGAAATTCCTCACTGTTCCAACCACAACAAACTTGTGCTCTGAAATTTTATTTTTCACACAAAAATAAATCAAAATCTCTTTCAAGGAGGGCATTGTTGAATGACTTGAGAATTAACAAATCTCAAACAGTTGCAGAAAGAGCACTGAAATCTTGCAGTTGTTTATGCATATGCCCAAATAAAAGAAAATATGAAAGCATTAAGCATACAAGTGAAAAAAATAGTAACAGAAAGCAGTAAGAGGCAAAACAGTTTTCTTCTCTATATACATAAATATTTTTACATGAGTAACAAGAAATGTCAAAAATACACAACTTTGAGTACAAGAGAAATCATTTTAGCAATAGATTTGTACAAATGAGACTTGTGTAAGCAGCATGCTTTGACAGAATGAGTTAAACTGCAACATAATTCAAAATACATTCATTTCAATCCTCCATACCAAAGATTCCTGAAGATGTAACATGAGGGAATACAGTTCAGTAACAAGTATCATTTCTGGAGAGGAAGAAAATTATAATTCCTCTGTAGAATCAAGCAGGATCAATTTCAGTTTTTAAAATCCTTGGTCTTGGTCAAGGTCAAGCCCACTAAAATGCCTCAGTAACCCCAATCCTGCCAACACCTATGTGTTTTAACATTACAACTGTTAACAAGGTTATGCTGATTTTGACAGGATCACAGACAGCAAGACTGAGCAGTTTAGCGGTCTTCAACTTGGTCCTAGGACTTCAGCTGTAATTATCAAGGCACTGCTCTAAAGACAGTATATTACACGCAATAGCCCAAACAGTTCTGTAAACACATAATTACCCCAGGGATCCTTCTATGCCACCTTGTTTCTTTTTTTAACACCCTTTTGTTCACTGTACGCTCTGATCACCTCTAAAACCTGTTAAGTGTGAATACTGTATCACCATGTAAGTCACCTCTGAATTTGGGCCACGCAATTTGGGTTTCTTTTTTCCAAGTATCAGCAGACGCAGCTCTGAGTGGAAACCCTGTTACAGTCAGTGTAAACAAACACTAAATTATCAAGACAAATTAACTTCCTTTGATGTTTGCAATTTCCACTTCACAGCCAGTACTTATCAGAGATTATGAAATCCTCACAAAATGTTTTCCCTCCCCCTTCAAGAAAATAATTTCACTAACTTTCCTGTATTACTCATCTTCTTTCCTTTTTGACTTACCATGTTTTACAACATTCATTCAAACACCTTACATGATAGCTCTGGAAGACAGAAAAAATACCTGTTCCTGCCATCTTAGACAGTGTATGCTCTCACTCTACTACATTAGCTCTAAGCACAATCTTGCTGCTTTCAGAGATAAACAGGCATGACAGCTCTGAAACAGAAAATCCATACTAACCAGGTCATAAACTTCTGCTATCAATGTAAATGTAATTGAGAAATAAAAGCTATACCGCAAAGACACACTAAAACACTCTGTTTTACAGCGGAACTCCTTTACTGCCTGTCATTTTGATCAGAAAAATCCATACCATCATCAGTGAAGTTGACAAGGAATGGAAAGCACAGACATCAATAACATCACCACTGCCTGGGTGCCTTTACATGTAACCCACAACCTCAGCTAGCACCTTTTTTAAAAAAATGAAATTACTAATTCAAAATTGTTCCTTTTATACTCCTAAAATTTAAATATTGCCAACACTTTTACCAATAGTTGTCAACGAGAAGAACAGAGATAACTGTTAAATTAGTTCTTCACTGAAGACCTAAATAAAATCTGGGGTGTAAATGTTCAGTTGGCCTCAGGAAGCAAGCCATCCCTGGACATCCACACAGTACAGGGCACTTCCTTCATACACATGTGTATGTGTATATACACATGTGTATGAAGGAAATGCCCTGTTCTGTGTGGATAGATAGAAATAGATGAAATTGCTATTATTTTGCTCCTCAGGCACAAGAACAGTGAAGAGGTTCCCATGCTTTGGGGTACCAAAAAAGAGATGGAAGCAAGAGAAGCCCAAACCCTAGCCCTGGTTGCTAAGTTTGTTGTACATTAATCCTCTGGTACTTGGTAACAGACAGCCCCAAAAAGCCCACTGCAAGGACGCACAAATTCGGCAGGCATTCTTCCCCAGCTTCAGTGTTACTAGGGATCTCAATTCAAAGCCCAAACCTAAGTTTTAATTTTACTTACCTCACATTAAATATTTATTTAGCTGATTAAAAAAAAAAATGAAATATCTGAGTCCGGATTGCTATCATCAAGGAAAACCTCTGCCTTTCTGCTTTCTAGGCAGCCTGAAACAGCCTGACATTAATCAGAAAGGTGGTTTGGCATTTCAGGGAGAGTAGCTGATGTCTAATAGATGAGAACAGCAGAGTAAACCATTGAGGCAGCAGGCACTACAGAGGAAAAGGAGCAACAAATAAATCAATGTAAAGTAGTATCAGAGGGAAAAGGGGAATTTAACTTACATCCCCAGCAATCTCTGCTGGCCAACTGTTATTCATTATTACCAGTTTATGGTTTCAGCCTAATACTTAAACTGAAAAGCAAGCAAGTTGAGGATTTTTGTCCCAGTCACTACTATGTGGACTAATTCCTAGCCTCAACTATGGTTCATGTACTATTTGTTTGCTGGTTTACTATTTCTAATTCTATCCCAATGAGTGCCTGACAGCATGATTTCAGCAGTATAGAGCACACCTAGCTTTATACGAGCTCCAAGCAGAAACAACATTACAGTGTAAATTGTAGGCCCAAAGTCACAGTTTCAGATAGGTTTTCAGGCCTACCATCAGGTTTAGATAGCTTGTAACAGCCTGAAATAACAACTACAGCCACCTTTTCCCCCTGTGGCAATTTTCAGATGAACTCTATTTTTCTAAATCTTGTGTTAACCTAAATGTCAGGACATGGTATTTTCATTGCTTTCTTTCCCTTTCATTCCTCCATTTTCTCCTTCCAACTCCCCTGATAATTGAGCAGTTAATGTTACTTTTGATCAATTGTTAGAAAAACAGCAAATCTATGACTGTGCATGTAGCTATACCAACATAAATTGCCCTCCTAAGAGCTTACATGGGTCTTTCATTGAAATTCACCAATATAACAAATAATAATAATACCCCTTCAATACAGAACAAAATATTCCAATGGACAAATTCTATAGTAAATTTTGTAAAGTGCACAAAAATATTAATGGAAATATTAAAAAAAGAAAAAAGTTTTCTAGTGTCACCATAAAACTTCTGAAATATTGTTAAATAGAAGTAATCTAATGAGACTTTTTGGCTCTAATACATTGGCAGACAGCAGCAACGTTTTTCAGAAAAATTACACCAACTAAATATACTGTATCTTAGCAGCATAAAAAGTCCCTACAATTAGATGCAATTGCAGGCCTAGTAAGCATAAACCTGACAAAATGTTACAAATGTAGTTTTCATTTAAAAGACTGGATTTCCACAGAATCCTAGAGGTAACATTTGTTATTTTGTTTACATTGTATTCTGGTAGTAAACCCAACTATAACCAATCACTTCCCCTCCCTCTATCTTTCCTCCCAAAATTGCACAGAGTACTGGAAAATTTAATCAAGTTATAAGATACGGCCACACTGAAGAAGCCATATTAAACAAAACAAAATTCAACCTAAAGCCTAAAAACAAATAGTCCCAGAAAATAACAATCACTGTCAAACAACCGCAGCTTCACACTACCGACCGATGCTCCCCACACACATAGATGGCACTGGGTCGAATGCGCCGCCTTGTATGGCCAGGTAGCTGTGGCAAAAACTTGAAGTATTTGGGCATCAAGTCCAAGCATGCATCATGAAACTTCTTAATCCTCCAGTAGTAAATCAGTGGGTTCAGTGCAGACTTGAGGTAGCAGAGCCAAAGTAGCCAAGTGCTTATCTCAAAAAAGTTGTGCTTGTAGTAGAAGTGGCTGTTGAATGTGGCAATAAGGCTGTAAGTGGTGAAGGGTGCCCAACAGACTATGAAGACAAGGAACAAAATCAAGATGGTTGTGAAGGCACGAGTTTTAAAGCTCATATCAATATTCATCTGAAAAGGTCTCTGTAAGCTCATGAGACCAAGTTTGCTGGCCTGGCTGAGGCATATGCTATCAGGGTGGCTATGGATACGAACTGCATTGTGACGGACGGTGTTGAGTATGCCCATGAAAGAATACAGCATTACCAGGAATGGAATAAAAAAAGAAATTAGCAAGATAACTATCACATAGGCTTGGTAACCTGGGCTTGTAGAGTAGCCAAAAACACACTGAGGTGCTCTCGAGGGTATCTGCAGATTAGGATTCCCTACTGATAATGGAAAAGCAACAACAAAGGATGCTGCCCAGGAAATCACAATGAGAATCTTTGCACGGTAAGGGTTCAGTTTATCTTGCCTCTGAACTATGATAAGAAATCGGTCAATACTAATAATAAGAAGAATGGCTACACCCTCTATGACAAAAAGCCAGAAGAACATGGCAGAGACTCTGCAGAATATATCCCCAAAAATCCACTGAGTGGTAATGATTGTTATCAGAGCAAAAGGCATGTTCAGCACTGCCAGCAGCATGTCTGCAAAAGCCAGGCTTGCTAAGAGGATGTTAATTGCAGATCGCATAGCTGCCTTCTGGTAGACCATGAGGCAGACAACAAAGTTTCCGAGGAAAGAAACCAATAGGATAAATATCATAGCAGCAGAAAGAATGATCTGGAGTGGCAAACTCAAGCTCCTGAAAACTTCTTGCGATGGCAGGATAGCTGTAGTGTTTACCAGAAAAGTACTTCTCTCAGTGGTGAGCACGGCACCTGAACTGTATCTCAATGGCTGTGTTGTGCCACTACGAAGCAAGAACTGGGGAGTGGTAAAATTCGTATAGGCATTTTCATAAACAATAAAAGTAGCATTTGAGGTCCCAGAGTGGGTCAGTGTCAACATTGCTGAGAAAACCATTGCTTCAGGAGAAATGAAAGCAGAACCAAAGGTCTTCAAGGCATTTCATCTTGTTCAGGCAGTATCTTATTCCTGGTCATTTAACAAATCAAAATTCAATGTCTGAAAGCATCAAAGTTCTTAAATTCATGTCAGTATTTCCATCTGAAAAAGAAGAAAGAAATTTGAAGAAGCAAAGTAAGACTCTCCGAAACTAACAAGAACCAAATGATTGCCCCACTTTCCTTAATGACAAAAGGATCCTTAATACATATTTACACTTCAGGTTGACACAACTTAAGCACCAATCACAGGAGTCTTGTAATATTTGTGGTGTTTTTCTTACATATCCTATTCCTGCAGCTTTGCTGATACCGTACGATACTCTCAACTCACCGAGCTTTTTTCTACTATAACCAGGACTGGAAAACTTTTGTGTTTGAAAACAAACCTTACTGATTAAGAGTGAATAAATCAGATCAGTATCTTTATTTAGATCTCATGATTTTTAAACTAACTTCATGATTTTGTTTTTAAACTGCCTACAGCTGGAAACTTTAGTGACATTTCCAAATAGCTTAAATAGTATCAGTGTCACCTATCTGCCTGTTTGGTAAGCACCGAAAAGCCTACCTATCTGAGCTGTTCCACGTAATACAGAATCCTTGGTTCCATGTCAGTCATCAGCAGCAGATGCCTCCGGAAAAACATGTAAAACATCCTAACCTGTTATTAATTATTAAATAACTTGTATGCGGGTTTAAAGTATTTCTCAATTTGTTTCATTTAGTGACTGATTCATATCAAGGTGCAGGAAACTAACTCTTCTTCAGCCACTACAACCCTTCCCCCTGCCGCAAGCTTTCCTGCTTTCACTGGTCTAGACATGTCTCTGTTAATTCATCTCGGTATCCCACATAATTTAACCATGTGTGCCCTCTTTTTCCCTGTAAATCTAATCCTTAGACATTCTGCTGAACTCCCTCATTGTTATGCTGATACAATGCAACAATTCCTTTTATAGTTCATGCGTACTGTCTTGTGGTACTATTATTACATGTATTGTATTATTATGTGTACTGTTCTTACAGACAAATAAAACACAAAGGAGTTAAGAGTTGTCTCCCCTTTTCAGTGCTAGCTCTTCATAGAACTCCTCCGCTCTATCTTGGACTATTAAATTAAATGCTCCCAGAGTACTTTGGCATCTGACCAAGCTGGAAACTAGAAGGATTATATGCCCTTTTAAAAACCAGATCACCATAGCCAGAAACATAAAGTGGGATTCACCTCATTCATTCTGGATGACTGTAATAGTCACTTCAGGCTGTTTCTGTGGTTTTAGTCAGAAAGGGATATAGGCATCTTCAAAGGGCAGTCTATCTCCTCCATCTCTGCACATGGTGACAAGCTTCTGCTACTAACTCGAGAAGCTTATGTCTGGTAACAAAAATCTTGTCTGCACTATTTATGCAGGTTCTGTTTGTTATCAACACTGGGCAAAAGTGAAGGGAGGAAGGAATGCTTTTACGAATTTACACAAGGACCACAAGCTTCGTGGAGGATCAAAAGGTAGCTCTTCCCTGGATAATACTTCACCAACAAAGAAATGAACTGTGAGACAACAAAGTCTAACCTATGTCCCCAGTTTGGGCTTCTAGTGATCCGAATGCAAGCCTGCTTCGGCTGCTGCCAAGGATTCATCAAGGAACGTCAGCACTATGACCTGCTCCTCTCATTCCATAGCAAAGCTATTCCCTTCCTATCTGCAAGCTCAATATCGCTAGATGATTTCCAGGGCCAGACCACCTTCAGCATTTTTTCTAAGACAAATGATTAATCTCTCTGTCTCCTTTAACTTTCAATGGTATCCTGAAGAGACATTACTATAAACATCCTAATTTCATTGAGTCATACAAATTCCACTTTCTAGAGGTCTTCTGGCTTGAATGGGTGGGAATGCCACAATTTTCTATTTTATCCTATTATATTTCAAAGATTGTTAAACTCAGCAAGAGTATACTAAGCTATGTACATTGGCATTTTGCAAAAATGCCAAATTCTGTTAACTTTATTCTAGATTTTCCTCTTCTCTCCATTCTCTTTTTTATTTTACAGTAACTCTTCTAGAGAAAGCCTCAATGTTAATTACACGCTAAAGCATATATAGTAGCCAAAACTCTTCTTTGGTCCTTATAAACCTCTCCTTTACTAGTCATCTTTAACATATTTGTTAGAATAAAGTCTGTAACGAATAGCAGAAAGGTTAACACAGCTTTCCAGGATAAACAAGCAAGGATTTTAGCAATGAACATGAAAATCTCACCCAAAGTTCCACCAAGGTTTATGACTCCATAAGCCAAGAACACTGAAGAGCGAAGGAAGCTGTAGCCTTCCGCAGAGTCTGCAAAAGAGCATAAATTCAAAAAGTAATTCTGGATTTAACATCACGGAGTACAGAAAATTAGATCCCCAGGGCAGTATCTTTTAGAGCTCTGTAAACAATAAGCCAGCAAAGGTAAATTTTGCATTTGACTGTTTTTGACAAGGTCCCTCCACGAAAGCTCTAAAAGAAACTAATCTGCCATTAGATAAATGTAAAGCCCTCTCACAGACAATACTCCGTTTAAAATAGGAAACAAAAAAAGGAGCAGTTAGTTTTGCAGTGAAGAAAGGTCACCAGAACGATCCTACAAAGAAAATCTATACTAGGGTTCAAGCTCTTCAACCTATAGGGAAGAAGAGAGAAATGTGAAATCCATGACATTTGCTGATGATGAACTGTTTTGCAGAGCAATTTAATAAAAACAAAGGTCAACTATAAAGAGGTACAGAGGGATCTCATGACAGTTAGTGACAAGCTAATGGACTGCCAGATAAAACTAATTGTTGCTAGAGGTAAAGCTTTGCATGTATAGAAAAAAAAAAAAGTTATCTGAACAGTAACAGATGCTAAACCAATGATTACCATTCAGAAGAAAAACAGGTCTTCAAGTTTTGATAGTCTGCCCTATGAAAATATCAGCCCAGTGCTCAGAATTGTTAGCAAAGAAAGAGAGAAGAAAAGCAGGAGCTATCTACATAAGCTGTATATTTACATACACTACCTGCTACAATACACATCCATGGCACCTCTTCAGTTCTGCTCCACCTGATCTCTATTCACAAGTGACTGAAAAAAGGTATCATAGAGGTCTACAGAATTATTAGTGGCACTGGGAAAGTGAATGATTGCTGTCTCTCATAATAGGAAAAGCCAAAGGAATCACAAAATCCCAGAATGGCTGAGGCTTCAAGGGACCTCTGGAGTTATCTTGACCAATCCCCTCTGCTCAAGCAGGGCCACCTAGAGTCAGTTGCCCAGGGCCATGTCTAGACAGCTTCTGAGCATCTCCAAGGATGGAGACTCCACAACCTCCCTGGGCAACCTGTGCCAGTGCTCGGTCACCCTCACAGTGGAAAAAAGTGTTTCCTGATGTTCAGAGGGAACCTCCTGTGTTTCAATTTGTGCCCACTGCCTCTGGTTCTGTCACCAGGCACCACTGAAAAGAGCCTGTCCTCTGTCCTCTTTGCACCCTCTCTACGAGTATTTATATACATTGGTAAGATCCCCCTGAGCCTTCTCTGCTCCAGGCTAAACGGTCCCAGCTCTCGCAGCCTTTCCTCACCAAAAAGATGCTCCAGTCTCTCCATCATCTTTGTAGCCCTTCACTAGACACTCTCCAGTATGTCCATGTCTCTCTTGGACTGAGAAGCCCAGAACTAGAAATGATTATTTCACAATTAGTTGTGAAAATACTTGCCACAGGATGGTGTGGATGCCATAGAGCTTCTGGGGATTTAGAAGGCAATTTAGGACATATTTCACATGATATTTATACAGATGTCCATGTCAGGAAGAGGTGAATCACCCTCACGAAGCGCCTGTCTCCCTCTGCTGACTGCAAAGGGTACATGGCCATCTGATTTGAATACAGACATTTTGAGCACATACATGCAGTTACTTGACTAACTTTAAATATATACAACAGAATTTGCTCACCTAGGTTAACAGCTCTTTAAATATATTTATGCCACGCAACTTTACACTCTGAATTACAAAGTTCAGCAGAGCCTTAGATGATAACGTGTATCATAAGAGCTCTAAGGAGAAAAAAAGAAACCCACAACTGCAAATGTTCCAAGGTAAAGAATAAAAGTTTTAGAAAATACTGCTTTAACACAAATTGTCCTTCTAAACAGAAGGAACCAGACAAGGGGAGTAGGAGCAAAGTGTTCTGAACCCTTAATTTAGTCAAAAAGATTGTGCTACCTTGCATTTCTCAAGCCAGTAGCATCCAGTGTATAGCAAAGGACAAAGAACTCACCGGTGTCTATAGACTATTCTTAACAAACCCAGAAAAAGTGACTAAGAAAAATAATCTCATCTATGCTTTCTCACCATCCCAGCTCTCTAAGCAAATAGCTACCTCCTGTTTTGTGCTTTTTCCCCTCAGTGTGAAGCTTGTATGCTTTTGTGCACAGTGTTAAGAGAAGAGGAGGAGAATGACCTCATGCAAGCTGCTGCCTGGACTTAGCCAAGTGCTTAAAGTGGGAAGCAGGCATTAGCCATTTGGCTGTTGCATAAATCATCAGCCATATCTTCTTTTCAAGAAGTACAAAAGAGTGAGCCGTGATTAGCTGTTGCAAAGAAGACACCTAACCTAATAAGAGGACTGCAGGCTTTGGAACCCAGGTAGAAAGAAACTCTTGAGTGTTGCTCCTCTGCTTGCTGCTTCCTGATTGATGGTTTCCAGGCAGCACCCTTCTCCGCACTCTGTGGTATGAAATCTCTCTGTGCACCGCATACTGAATCTGCATGCTCAAATGTGTTTTGGAGTTACACTTATCTAACCTGTAGGCAAGTTAGTTATGCTCTTTCTTGGCTATCCTCCTTCGTTAAAGTGACTGGCATTTCAGCCAATAAATTCAAGAGGATCCCTTCTGTAGCAGTCATATATAAATTTTTCCTTGGGTTTTTT